GACTCGGTGATGTGCCGCCTGGCCGTGGCCTCGGTGGCCGAAGCGGCCGCTTTGGGTCGTTCCGTGGCCTCCTGGGTGTCCGAGCACTTCCCCTCCCCCATCCGCCTCGAGTTCGAGAAGGTGACCCCCAAATTTGGGGAAAAATTCCAAAAAATTGGGAAAAAATTACAAAATTAGAGTGGGGGAGGTCTAAAGATTGGGAAAAAAAAAAAATGGGGAAAAAAATTTTTAAGAATGGGAAAAAAATTCAAAAAAATGGGAAAAAGATTCAAAAAAATGGGAAAAAATTCCAAAATTTGGGTGGGTGGGTCCTGAAAATGCGTGAAAAAACGACAAAAAAAAAGGGAGAAAAATGGTGAGAAAACAGCTGAAAAATGGGGGAAAAAACACCAAAAAATTCCTAAAAAATGGGAAAAAAATAGCAAAAAAATGGGGGGAAAATGGTGACAAAACAGCTAAAAAATGGGGGAAAAAAACACCTAAAAAAATTCCTGAAAAATGGGGAAAAAATAGCAAAAAATGGGGAAAAAATGGGTAAAAATCACTAAAAAAAAACGGGAAAAAAAGCTGAAAATTTGGGGGAAATTGGTGAAAATTGGGGAGAGGGTTCTGAGGGATTTTGTGGTGATTTTGGGGTGATTTTGGGGTGTTTTTGGGGTCCCAGGTGTACCTGCCCTACCTGCTGATCAGCAAGAAGCGTTACGCCGGGCTCTGCTTCCCCGGCGGCGCCGACGGCGAACCCCGACTGGACTGCAAAGGGCTGGAGGCCGTCAGGAGGGACAACTGCCCGCTGGCTGCCAACCTGGTCACCGCTTGTTTGAAGAGGATCCTCCTGCACAGGTGAGAGAGCAAAAAAAATGGGGAAAAACGGTGAAAAAACGGCGAAAAACGGTGAAAAAATGACTGAAATACACCCAAAAATGACCGAAATACACCCAAAAATCGGGAAAATGACCCAAAAAGGGCAACTGCCCGCTGGCTGCCAACCTGGTCACCGCCTGTCTGAAAAGGATCCTCCTGCACAGGTGAGAGAGCAAAAAAAATGGGGAAAAACGGTGAAAAAATGGTGAAAAACGGTGAAAAAATGACTGAAATACACCTAAAAACGACTGAAATACACCCAAAAATGGGGGAAATGGCCCAAAAAGGGCAACTGCCCGCTGGCTGCCAACCTGGTCACGGCCTGTTTGAAGAGGATTCTGCTCCATAGGTAATTGTGAAAAAAAATGGGGAAAAACGGTGAAAAAACGGCGAAAAACGGTGAGAAAATGGCTGAAATACACCCAAAAATGACCGAAATACACCCAAAAATGGGGGAAATGGAGCAAAATGACCCAAAATGACCCAAAATGGCCCAAAATGGGGCAACTGGCTGCTGGGTGCCAACCTGGGCACCGCCTGTCTCAAAAGGATCCTCCTGCACAGGTGAGAGAGCAAAAAAAATGGGGAAAAATGGTGAAAAAATGGTGAAAAACGGTGAAAAAATGACTGAAATACACCCAAAAATGACTGAAATACACCCAAAAATGACCTAAATACACCCAAAAATGGGGCAAGTGGCCGCTGGCTGAAAAGGATCCTCCTGCACAGGTGAGTCTGGAAAAAATCTGCAAAAAAAACGGGGAAAAACGGTGAAAAAACGGTGAAAAACGGTGAGAAAATGACTGAAATACACCCAAAAATGGGGGAAATGGAGCAAAAAATGGGGAAAATGGAGCAAAATGACCCAAAATGGGGCAAGTGGCCACTGGCTGCCAACCTGGTCACCGCCTGTCTCAAAAGGATCCTCCTGCACAGGTGAGAGAGCGAAAAAAATGGGGAAAAACGGTGAAAAATTGGTGAAAAATGGTGAAAAAATGACTGAAATACACCCAAAAATGGGGGAAATGACCCAAAATGGCCCAAAAAGGGCGACTGCCCGCTGGCTGCCAACCTGGTCACCGCCTGTCTCAAGAGGATCCTCCTGCACAGGTAATTCTGCAAAAAAACCGGTGAAAAACGGTGAAAAAATGACTGAAATACACCCAAAAATGGCTGAAATACACCCAAAAATGGGGAAAATGACCCAAAATGGCCCAAAATGGGGTAACTGCCCACTGGGTGCCAACCT